TGAGCGGCGATGCTGAGGGCGGCGGGATAAGTGAGAGCATGCCGGACGAGCCTACCGATCGGACGGACACCAATGATATCAAGACGGGGAATCAGACTGGCACCAAGGATATCGAGCCGAAAACGGAAAATCAAACCAAGATCCAACTCGATCAAGGCCAGATCAAACTCGATCCCGGCGAAGAACCCGACGCAAAGCTCCCGATTTGCCCGACTGAGGGCGTCGAACAACGAGATCCGCCGGCAGAAGGAGCCACAGCGACCACCCCGCAGGGTGCCGAGGACGATGAGGAGATATACTACCATGACAGCGGCGATCTCTCAGCGGAAGATCTTGAAGGAAACCTGGCTGTCCTCCCCGAAATCCCGATCTCGACGACCGCCAAGGCGAGCATTGAGGATCTGCAGGTGGGAGACTCCGGATCGGCCACACCCGAGGAGATCGAGAGGCTCCGGCAGAATATCTGGAAGAAGTGACATTATCTTCTGATCGGCAAAGGGAACGCCTTAACCCCGGCGGCCAAGGGCGTCGTATGCGATATCGATGTTGGAAACGCGAAGCCGATCGCACTGCGAACCCGGAAAGTGCCCACGCGATTTCGCGAAAAGGTCGCAGGCCTGATCAAGGGCCTCCTGGCAGCCGAGATCATCCGACCCTCGACATCGTCATGGGCCTCACCGATCGTGATTGTTCGCAAAAGTAACGGTGTGGATATCAGGTTGTGCATTGACTACAAGTTGGTAAACAGCCTCACGAGATTGATGGTCTATCCTATGCCCCTAATCAGCGATCTGCTAGAAGATTTGATAAAGCACTATGGTACTGTTCGCTGGATATGGCCAGTGGCTTCTAGGTCGTGCCCATGACGGATCGGGCTCGCGAGATCTCAGCAGTTATCACCCCGTTTGGATTATTCGAATGGAGTCGCATGCCTTTTGGCCTAAAGAATGCCCCGCAGATTTATCAACGCCTCGTAGACAACGCGATGTATAGATTTTTGAAGATCTCGCGATCAAGCGACGCCGGGGCTACAACGGATGTATTCCAGATAGGGATCGCGGACGATCCTGATCGCGAGTCAGTATTGGGACGGAGATCATACATCGACGATATCATGATCGCAGCGGAATCGTGGGATCAAATGTGCCGAAGAGTGAAAGATCTGTTGGAATCTTGTGATAAGTGGAATTTGTCGATCAGTGTAGCCAAGAGTTTTTGGGGCATGGATAAGGTAGGATATCTGGGACACCGAGTGTCGATCGGAGGTTTGGAGGCGAACCCAAAAGATCTGAAATCCCTAAACGATCTACCGTTCCCCGGATCACATCGATCTATGCAGTCGTTCCTGGGTAGTTTGAATTACTACAGCCGATTCATTGAAGACTACGCTATCTATGTTTCGGTGCGCTATGAATTACGCGAGGTGGAGTTTGCAGAACTGGAGAAACGATAAGATCTGAAGGAGATCATGGACCGGAACGACCCGATTCTTCGAGATCACGACCCACCGGAACCGCAGTTGACGGGATCGGTGGACGAGAGGTGGATCAGGGCACATACGGCCTTCACCACCCTGAAAACCAAGATCGCTACCACCCCAATTCTCCGTCACTTCGACGAGATGAGAACACCGGTAATCATTGTATATGCCAGCGATTGGGCGATATCCGCTACGTTGACACAAGAACACGACAGGATCTACCATCCGGTTGCGTTCGCCAGCCGCACCTTGAAGGCAAACGAGTTGAATTACAATGTGACCGAAAGGAGGTGTTGGCATTGCTGAGGATCTTGGATCTTTACTACAATCTGCTAGTACGACGCGAGATCCGGGTCCTAACGAGGCATTCTACGTTGGCCTGGTTGTTCAAGCCGACGGGATTACAGGGTCGCCTGGGACAATGGTCTGCCCTCCCGGCCCCATGGACACTCGAGATCACGAAGTGCACGAATGGTGAGGACGAGATACTAGGGGCGATCGCTGCCAGCATCACGCCGAGGGCGAAGTTCGACGACGCTCGGACCGAAGTCGCTCCCTGGAAAGAACCTAAACGTCGGATCCAAGCGCCGATACCCACCGTAGATCGAGACGAGGAACTATGGGTGATCAGCTTTGACGGGTCCGCTCGAGTTAAGCGTGGTGGGGGCGCGTTCAGCGCGATCGTGTGGAGTCTGCCCGGATGGGAGGTGATCAAGGCCAGATCAGGCTATCTCGAGAGCCTCATCGTGAACGAAGCCGAGTATAACGGCTTGATCCTGGGATCTCGACATGCTAGAAAGCTTAGATCGCAGACGCCTTGTGGTCTGCGGGGATTCCAACCTAGTGATCCGACAAGTACGGGGTGAGATCGAGAGCAAAGCACCCGGACTGACGCTATTGAAACGGAAAGCCCTCCATCGCCTCAGGAAATGGAGTGATCATGAGTTGGTGCACGTCAAGAGGGACTGGAACGGAAGTGCTGACAGTCTAGCGAGCGCCGCTTTGCAACGACAAGGAGAGATCGAGGTCCAGGAGATGCCCGGGTACCAGGATCTGGTCACCCTGAACCTGTTAGACGAAATCTTGATTCCCAAGACCGAGAATCCGGTGGTGCGAGTTACTGCGGTTACCGCTCGAGCAGGTCGAGCGAGATCACCTGCGGGTGCTATGCAAGAGGATCTGATCCGGGAGATCCGGGTTGATTGGATCAAGCAAGCCCAAGAGGAAGAAGTCTGGATCGCCGGCATGAAGAAGTATCTGAGTGGCTCACAAGCGGAAGCAAGATCGTATGGCAAGATCGCGGCCGACTACGAGGTAGACGAGCAGGATCTACTCTTTTACTGCCCCCACACGCCGAGACCGGGAGACGATCGCGACCGATTGATGAGATTGGTAGTTCCCGAAACGCTGCAATCGGATGTCTTACACCACTATCACACCACGTTGGAAGGAGGACATCAGGGAGTGGGGCGAACCTACCAGCGGATCAGGGATCACTTCCACTTGAGGGTATTATACCGGAGTGTTCAACGATATGTGAGAGAGTGTGTGGATTGCGAAACAGGAAAAGGAAAACCGGTGTTCCGGGGCGAATCAGCAGGGAATTTGCAGGCGACGTACCCGTTCCAGATCATTGCGATGGATCCCATACCGTCGCTACCCAGATCCCACAAGGGAAACACGGAGTTATTGATCTGGGTCGATCTGTTCACAGGATATGTGATCGCGAAAGCAAGCCCGTCCCGTCCAGATCGGCTCAGACGGTGGAGGAATCGTACGAAGAGTGCGTGTTTCGGCGATTTGGTGCCAGTGAGATGATCCGGCATGATCGGTTACCCGGCTTCATGTCCGATTTCTTCCGGGCGTTTAATAAGACCCTGGGACAGCGGCAGCGTGCAACGATGGCATATCGACCATAGGCTAACGGGACTGCTGAGAGAATGGTGCAGACCGCAACCAGGGCTCTCAAGACAGCGGCAGCGTGCAACGATGACATATCGACCATAGGCTAACGGGACTGCTGAGAGAATGGTGCAGACCGCAACCAGGGCTCTCAAGACAGCGGCAGCGTGCAACGATGACATGTACGTCCGTAGTCTTGATCAGTAGGATTGGGACGAATACGCTGAGCGCCTTACTTTCGCGATCAACACGGCTCACGATCGGATCCGGGGAGATACCTCTCACTATTTGGTGCATGGGTGGGATCCGAGATCACAGTGGAGGCTACACTGCTAGTCGGGTGTACAAGACGGCGCGATCGAGACGCGCGGCGATGGCGATATCGAGTCCAGCGATATTATTAACAATCCCGAGAACAAGTCAATGCCAGGTTGAAGGAGGCCATCGCGGATAGGGCCGACCGACACAACGAAGACGTCGGATCACACCAGATCGAGACCGGATCCCGCATCTGGTTATACCTAGATCGGGTGAAGGAAGGATACGCGCGGAAATTGGCTCACCTTTGGCACGGGCCGTTCCGAGTCGCCGAAAAAATCAACGAATTCAGTGTCAAGCTCGAGATCGCAGACACAGGGTACCAGATCTTCCCAGTAGTACATGTGTCGAAGTTATAATTGGTCAAGGATTTTCCAGGTCAACCACGAGTGGAACTTACGGTGGACGAGGCGGATCGTCTCGATTTTGACGAGTTCCTGCTTCCGGAGGACAGTTGGGTCCCGGATCTTGGGGCGGATGAGTACGAGGTCGAGCGGATTTCGGATGTGCGGAGTGGGAAGAAGAATCGATTTGGTCGGATCTATCGGGAATTCCTGGTTCACTGGGCACGATATGATGAGCCAACCTGGGTCGACGAAGCCGATCTCAACGGCGGGGCAATTTGAACGCCTTCCTGCGAGAACGGGCCAATCGGAACCGCTTCAATGTGCTGCAATCACATGAAGAGATGTAAGGGATATGGGGGAGAGGTTACCTGATCGTCTCGATTCCGAGGGAATACAGGTCAGATAAGATCGAGATCAGGAGTTCATGTTGTATATATGCATATGGAAGCCGTCACAAGAGATCACGGAAGACATGAGGAGTTGGAAGAGAGATCACTTAGGAATGGCGACGAAAAGAACAAACAAGCAGATGATGTGAGTGAATTAGGAAATTACGAGATCGACAAGGAAGAAACGCGGTCACTGGTAGGAAATTGGAGATCACGGAGTTGGGCGAAGAGCGGAAGCTAGATCGACGACCAAGGGGCCGCTGGAGGGTTGAACTTGTTCACGAGACGAGGGATCTGCAGCGACGGATGAGCGGAACGGGGATCCCGGTAGTGATTCCTCCAGGGATCCGCTTGATCACATTCAAACAGGGCCGTGATCAGGTCGGTCGGCTCGGGGAAATTCACTGTCGGCTGCGTGAGACTGGCCGCCCGGGAGACCGATCCTGGATACCAACGCACCCGATTGTGTTTTGTCGGCAGGTGGAGGAAATAGGGACCCAGCAGGATGTTGATATCGGACCACTGTGCTCTCATCATTAGTACAACTCCCCCCAACAGCTTCCGCCAACTTTGTCCAGCCCGGATCCGTCAATGACGTCGATCTTGGTGATAGGTGAAGAGATCTGAGTCCGCGTCGGTCATTACCGACGTGATCTCGAGATAATGGGTCGATTCCCAATACGCAATCATGTGATCCTCGTCCAGGGCGGCATACGACACGGCGATACGCCACAGAGGGGTCTCAGCTCGCCGGTGAAGGTTGTGATCGAAAGTTAATGGAGTGGGACGACGCTGACCCAGGATGCGCCATGACTCGGTAGCCATAAGAGCCAAAACATTGGCACCTGTGATCAACTCCGAGCAATAACCGGTCATGGGTATGGGAGCCCGGATCAGAGGGTTTCGGAAGGGGAACAAGAAATTGGGCGGGATCGGCATCCAGTTCGTCAAAGTGGCCTGGATCATGGCTATGATCGGCACAGTTCCCACGATAGCCGGGTCCCACGGGTGGGTCTCGGCCGCTGTGAAGCGCTTGAGTGCAGAATAATGAGGAATTCTCGCTTCGGCGGGGAATAGCGGTGGATGTAGCTGGATGGGGGAGCCACCCTCCGGAGAACCACCACCAGGGCTTCCGCCAGGAGACCTGGGAGGTGAGGGAGGAGGTGTCGTGGGACCGTGATCCGGAGAAGGGGAGTCGGGATCACCCGGACTGCCCCCTCCCCCGCTTGGGATCTCAGGTTTATCTTCGAGCTCCTGGTCTTCCGGACCCTCGACCTCGGCCTGATCTTGGTGCTCCTGGTCTTACGGACCCTCGATCTCGGACTGGTCCTGGTTAGGCGACGGGGAAATCGGTCGATCACTGCGAGGCGTCTTGGAAGGCGGTAATTGAGGCGGAGAACTGAGCGGACTTCGCTCACGTTTCGGCATCCGCGCCTCCTGACTCTCTCTGATCCGGCTAGCGAGGTGTGTGAGGAGCACGTCGGCCTCGTTTAGATCGCTCTCAGCCAGATCTCGCAACTCGGCGAGTTGGTCGTGGGCGACCTGGAGATCCATCATGTGGCTCTCCCTCTCCTGAAGTTCCAGGCGGACCACCTCGAGATCGTCGTCTAGCTGAACCGTGCTGGCAGTCTCGGTGAAAAGATCCAAGCGAACCTGATCACGTTCGGCAACCGCCTGATCACGGAGGCGAAGGGCCGAATCACGATCGACAAGCGCCCGATCCCGATCCTCGGTGGTCTGGGCAAGTTGATTGAAGGCTCGATCGCGATCGAAGGTGACCTGCGTTAGGGTTGCCCGGGCAAGCGCAAGATCTGCTAACGCGCGATCACGGTGCGGCTGGGCTAGACGAGTAGGGCTGCCGAGGGATGGATCCCTCCCGTGATCCGGTTGCGTGCGGGTGAGGCTGGAGAAGATCCGGTTGTAGCTGGCGAGACCGGTGGCGGATTCGGACCTCGCATCGTCAGTCTCAAGCTCCAGACCGCGGACCTGCTCCTGCAAGTCCCTGATCTCGTCCCCGGCTTGAATAACTTCCAGGCGCAGACGATCACGATCGGTCTCGGCGTTGTGAAGATCTTCACGGGCGGAAATAGTTTGACGCTCGAAGTCGTTCCGTTCGGCGCGCGGTTGAAGGACCTGTGTATGGAGATTCTCCGGAAAGTCACCAATGTTGTCGGTGAGAGTCGAGATCTCGGTCTCAAGTCGAGTGATCTCGTCTCGCTGGCCGTGCTGGAACGCTTCCATGTCCCGGATGTAGGATCGCAGCTGGTGGACTTGCAGATCGAGGTGATCCCGGTCTCGGACGAGGCGATCTCGCGTAAGATTGCTCTGGCGAAGTTCACTCTCCAATGTAGCCAACCGCCGATCCCGATCGGTGGTGTGGGAGTGCGACGGCGCGAGATCGTGGAGTGCCGCGACTGGTGGCTTGCGGTAGACTGCGGCAAGTCAGGAGGGGTTAGGACTCCCGGGGTCGCTGCCGGCCTGGGTCATGGAGATCGCTGGTGGTGGAGTGAAGAGGAGTACGCCCATGTCGGAAGATTGTGGAAGGAGCCCTGACGGTCCAACTTTCAGGCAGAGGGCGGATGTGGTAACGCGCGATCGAAATCTCACGAGAAAAGCTACCTCGGCTGCCAGACCGCGAGAAAGAGACGGACCAAGGCGACAGAAATCCCACTCTAGACCAAGGCATCAAGACGCTTCCCCAAGATCTGACGTGCGACAACATCAGTGAGTGATGGGAACTACGGATGACCCAAGATTGACACCAGATGACCCAAGATCAACCCGCCAGAGTGATGGATGGCGACCCACCCATATTATATCGTGAGAAGGCCAGATCAAGGAAGTTCATGAGACGAAGCCGTTGTCAATCGACGATCCTGAACAATGACGGACAGACGGACCAAGATCGAAGGAGAACGGCTACGCTCGAAGCCCTATCAATCACCGATCAAGACATGCGAGAGATGCGTAACCCCAGATCAAGACAGGATGGCGATCCGGAACCCTGGGAAGGAGGCGGGATAGGATCGCCGGGAGGCAGTCGGCATACGCTCCAAGGCGAGCGGCAGTGATGGAGATCACCGTACGATGGCCGCGGGCGATGGCCCAAGAGTCCGGGGCGACGTTCCTGATTGAGATCATAGATCGCGGTCACATATAGAGGCTGATCGGGGCATGATTGTGATTGCCGATCGAGGTCCGATCGCGATCGC